GCTGCCTCTGTGTTTTTGGTTCTTCATATACATATGAAAGAAAAAGAAAAAAGGCACGCCAGAAAGAGGAGTGGCACTTAGCCTTTCTCACAATCACGGTCAGCATGGAGGGCAGGCATGGTTGTACATCCAAGGCCTACATCCCAGACTGACAAGAGGACCCAGAGCTGTTGATCCTCCTCCTCCTCCTCTCAACCTGCTTATTCACCTGCATCTTTCTTTGGCGCAGACAAGGATGGAAGTGCAGAAGAACGGGGGGGGGGGTTCCCTATACACCCTCCCGCCCCCTAAGAGCTGCAGAAGAGGCTCTGCTTCGGGAACCCTCCTTAGGAGAGTGAACACCCAGAGGAGGGCCTTCTCTGCAGTGGCACCCCAACTGTGGAATGCGCTCCCCAGAGAGGTTCACCTGGCGCCAACTTTATATGCTTTCAAGGCCAGGTAAAAACCTATTTATCCAACACTGTATAGCTTAATTTTAATCCGGTTTTATTAATATTAATAGCCACAGTTGCATTTTATCTTGCTATTATAGTTGTAGATTGTTTATATTCATTATTTGTATTGTATTATAAGCCGACCTGAGACAATTGGGTTGTATAGGACGGGATAAAATGTTCTACATACATACATACATACTTGCAGGCGTACTCTGGGCCTGTCAAGCAAGAAAGCAGTCATTTGAGGAAGAATGGCAGCTTATGACCAAGGGTGCTCTTGTCACTGCAGCCCCGTTGGGGTGTGGGCCCTTGGAAGGGACCCCAACATGCCATCCCTGGACTGAACCTGGAGCTGTTTGTACACAAGACGTGCCCATGCTCTACCACTGAGGGTGGGTTCTCTCTTTTTAACATGGGCTAAGAGCCCCCAGCTTTCAAAAAAGAACACTTGGGAACAGAGTTCCCAGTTTTACAGCCTCTGAGGAAGCAGCCCCCTGAACCCCTCCGCCTGTCTGTTTCTGTACAATGAACCCAGGGAAGGACTCTGCCAGAAAAGGGGGGAAAAGTGAACGTGTTTCTTTTGAGACAGGACAGCATTATGGGTGGTGCTTTATAACTGGATTGGTGTGACTTCAAGCAGCAACTTGAGCTTCGGATTTCTGATTGCTTGAGCCTTGGAAGGAGTTGGACGGGGTGCTGGGGAGCTGATGTGTCTTCTGCAGGACAAGTGGAAGGAAGAAAACCATTCTGGTTTTGGTTCCTAAAATATGTGCTTACACAGCAGATGGCTTACAAATGAACTCCAAACATGTTCCAGGGAGCAATTCTGGTTCACACTAACAGCAGCAGCACATCTGTAGTTGGGTTACAGATAAATAGCTCACACTGATAGATTTCTCAAGGTGGCACAGTCTATTTCACAACCCACAGTGCTGAAACAACATCACATTTCTGTAAAACTTTGCTACCCACGATAGCTTGTCACATCGAGCAAACCTGCACCAATTTCCTCAGGGTGGCTTGTATGAGGACAGCAAGCCACCCCCAACAACCCATAGCTACTTCTGGGGTTGTTGTACCCACCACAATGGGTTGACAGATTGCACAAACCTGGATGTGGAGACAGGGAGTCAGTCCCGGGCACTCTTACAAAGTGATTGTCATGGGGATAGCTTGCTCGTTCCTTAAATGGCTGCTGTGATGAACACAAAACACGCATTTCCCTAAAGGCAAAGCAGTGAGACTGAAAGAAAGGTCACTTTAAGAACAAGTCAAGGTGGGATCTCTAAAACATAAATCTGCTCTGTTGAACCCCAGTATCCCTGCACTTGTCTTAAGGTATGGAAACTTCCTAGTTGGGGGAAAAAAGAAAAATAGAAAAAATAGCCAAACTTAAGCAGTAAAATCAAAACCAGGAAGGGTAGGGAACCTGCTGAGTGTGAAAAGATGTGTCCAAATCCCAGCTGTAAGAGACATCTAACACAAGACAGCACTGACCTCTCAGTAGTTGCAGTATGGTTCTATTTATGATAAAATGCACACATATTACTCCTTCCAGTTATGGGAGCTGTAAGGCCAGGAGTGTTACACCATAGCCAGTTCCTACAGATTAACTCAGATGTGGCTGCCACTTCAGAATGACAGCTCTGAGGATAACAGACGGACATGGATGTGGTTGTCTGACTTACAGGCTGGGAGCAGGGTTAGACCCAACAGGCTTGGCCAGTGCCTAGAAATTGGCCCAGAAGTATTTCTAATGCACAGGAGGCCCCTAGTGAATTAGTCTAGTTTGCCCAAAGCCTGAAAAGTTGGAAAGGAAAGGAAAGGAAAGGAAAGGAAAGGAAAGGAAAGGAAAGGCACTGCTGTAATCGCAGAGAAGAATCGACAAGGCCTTAGAAAACTCTTACATGTCCCTTTCAAAAAGACCTCATATTGCTCAGATGGCTCCTTCCATTCAACTGATAAGCTCACCTTGAAACAATCTATAGGGCAGGGTATAAAAAGGGCCAGCTTGCAAACAAAACCACAATTAGGCAAGCAGCTCAATAAAAGCCAGTTAATTGTGTGTGGGGAGACACTGGCATCAGCACACTTGAAGGCAGCTAAAAGTTTATTATTTATTTAAAAAATTTTAGACTGCGCCTTACTTTAGTCTCAAGACACTTTAACAATAAGACAAAATAGAATAAAACACAGCATCCTAATCAAATTCTTAACCAATCAAAAGTAAAACCCATATTAAAAACAGTAAAACCTTAAAACATTGGGGAAAAAAAAAGGTTTCTCTCTGTTCACCCAAATGACACCTCAAAAAAGTCATGTATCATCCATGTTTGTGACATACGGTTTCTAAGTCTTACAGAGACTGTGCATTCTGGATTGCATTTTAAAAAGTGCACAATGTAGCTAGTCCTGAAGACTTTTTCAGAGCAAAGCAGAAACAGTGCAAGAAGCACACAGTGAACTCTCAGCAGTCAAAAGGAGACCTTGGAAATGTCCCCCTAGTGAGGATCTCTTACACCCTGGGTAATCTTAATTCTTTAACTACCTTTTTAAACTGGCAACAGTAAACAGACCAGGACAACTGGGTGAGGGAATATCCACAGTGCAAAACAAACCATGGGGTAAGTTTTTAAAAAAGACTATTTTTCTTGGGTTTCCTAGTCAGACCTCTGTCAATGTATGGCTCCCTATAAGGATGGATGTGGTAAGACTCACAATCAGCCATTGTTCAATTGTTTTTTCCCACTCTTCTGCTCTATTAATATTGAGAAGCAGCAGCAACACAAAACACCCAGGACAGTTAAAAGCTGCAGCCATTAAAATGCAAATTCAAACATTAAGGGACTGGATGAATAAGATCCTTTTCATTTTGTCTAAAGAAATTTTGTCTTCAAATTTAGAACACTCTCTTCTATACCAGGGGCCAAATTTGGCTCTCTTGGAGACCCAAGGTGGCCAGCCCCCTCTTTCTGGCCACACCTTCTTTCATTTAGTGATTTCCAGCGTTTGCCAACCTTCCTTTTCTAAAAACATAGAAATGGCTCTCCTGAAGGATTAGTTACTGGCAGAAACAACTTAAAAGCTGGAACATGTCCTTTCTAGTATACTGACCACACCCTTTTGGGACTTGGCATTTTACACGATTGATGTTTTTTACTTGATTAAAGAAAATTACTTAAATCTAGGGGGAAAAAATTCTTGTAACTTATAGGCTACCCCCCTACTTTAAAGGTTAGTTCACCAGAAAGGGACTTCCTTTGCTTGTTCTACATTTTGTCTGCAGGATCATGAAAGCCAAGATGGAGCACAGCCACTGAGAGCTTCGCTAAAATTGAAACCGGCCCTGCTTTGGAAGAGGTTCTCCACCGATTTTGTACTTTCCCCAAGTTCCTATTTTCAGGCTGTGTGTGCACATGAACAATCTGTTTCCATTAAAATGTCGAGTCTCTAGCATTTTACACTGGTGATGCTTGATGCTCTGAGACACTGGGTTGCAAAGGTGAAAATTCAAACTCTGACTGGACCACCAGTACTCTCTGTCCCTCTTCCGCCAGCCCTCAAATAGTTAGTAAATCTGCCTCTTCCACACACAGATAGAGGCTCGCATAAGCCTACAAGCACTTTCCATGGAAGTGCTTCTTCCAGTGCTTTTTTACTTTGGAAGAGTTTTTACTCCTCTTCACTCAGTGCTTCTTCACACACACACACACAAACACACTTTGACAGGACATACAGACAACTATTCAAGGAAATTCAAGAAATCAACCTTGCATGTTGCTTTCCAGAGTGCACAGCTACAGAGACACTGGAATATTCAGGAGACACTTACATTGCAGCCTCAGGCAAGATGCTGGACTGTAGCCAACAGGTTAATGGCAAGCGCTAGCAAGATAACCAAGACCAACCAGCGAACATAAAGATTCAGCAAAGACTGGAACCTGGGAGTCCCCCACACTTAATACTCTAGAGCAGCATGTGGGCATATTCCTGAATTGACAAAGCACCATTCGCAGTCAAATATGGGTGAAGTCCAGTCCAGTGGTATAACATACCTGTGTAAGGAGTTGCCCAAAATACTTTGAGCTAGACCAACCTGTCACACTGCAGAAATCAGTACAAACTCCTGCAGCAAATACATCTGCTATTATAGAAACCGGAGAAAGACCACCTTGCAATACTCTTTCAACTGAGAAAGGGAGGTAATGCTTTTTATTTGGAGAAACCAGAGTTTTTAAAAGGCTACGTACGATCTGTAGGACTTTTCTCTAGGATTCAAGGCTGGAAACGATGGTGGTGATGGCAGTGATGTTGCTTAAGACTGTTGCTCCTGGACACATATGCTTTAATCACAGAACTAAGCAACAGAAATTAGGTAATACAGACACTATTTCAGTAACAGATTAGATATGTTGATAAGATGGATTTTCTTAAAAGGCCCCTTAAGGTGCAATCCCTCTGCATGCTTAGACAGTGGAAAGGCCTACAACTCCCAGCATGTTCCCACTGACTATACAAGGATGAATGAGACAATAGTGTACAACAAACACGGGAAGGCAAAAGTACTGTGATTAATGTGTCTTTTATTATTTAGAATGGAACTCTTACTCTTAATGGAAGTTTTACAGAGCAATGCTTACAAGTGCTGAGGGTGCAATCTTAAGATTGCAGCCTGGTGCTCATAAGCCTTCTTACTTCGAGATTTATCATCCTACACGGGCTGGGAGGAACGGAAGAGGTGAGCTATGCTTCCTTGTCTGACCCCCATTCCGCATTTTTTTGCTAGGTAGGCTGTTTGCCCATCCAAGAAAAATCTCGTGGAGTGAGGGGGGAGGAAGCTGGAGCGGTGACAGGATCGCTTGTCTCTGGGCTTCTCTAGTCTCCTCCCCTCCCTGCCCACTGAAACAGCCCCCTTTGTCCCCTTCCAAACTCCATCTCTGACCTAAGAATCTGAAACATCCTGTAGTACCAGACACCCTGCCTAGGGTCACAGGATTGTTCTCTTATCACGCAGAGTTTAGACAATGCTGCTCTCTTTGATCTGAATGTGTGTTTAGCTTTGGATACTTTTCCTTTGTGTTTCTACACAAAGTTGTGATTCTCTCTCTTGCATATTCAAATATGTACTTCCCTGGGATTAAACATTACTTATGAATATAATATCACCAATATTGTGAAAAATGCCCTGGATCCAACTTTGGTGAAGGGAGCTACAAAAGGCGTTTATTTAAAATATTTCTATACTGAACTGCACCCAAACTGGGTCCAGAGCATTTTACACAATGTTTTTTACTTGAAAATTAAAGAAAATTACTTAAATCTAGGGAAAAAAATCCTTCTAACTTATAGGCTACCCCCTACTTTAAAAGGTTAGTTCACCAGAAAGAGACTTCTTTTACTTGTTCTACATTTTGTCTGCAGGATCATGAAAAGCCAAGATGGAGTCACCACTGAGAAGTAAAAGACCAGCCTTCCCCAACCTGGTGCCCCCAACATGTGCCAGACTGCAATTCCCATAATTCCCAGCCAACACATCTTCTATTTATGCTACCTGCTTAAACTTCGGTAAGCCCTGCAGAACTATTATGGATTCTCAAGATGTCTTCTAGATAAGCCACGGCTCCCTTTTTCACTTGGCGCTCTTTCGCCTCTTCTGCAATGGCTCGCATGTGCTCCACAGCCCTTTCCAGCATTTTGCCTCTGCTGGCAACAGCCTCGCTTAGCCCCATGTCCTCATCTTCAGCTCCTGATTTCATGTACTGCAATAGATAGGACCTGATCACTTCTCCATGCTCTGTGACTGTCCTCCGTACGGCTGGCAGGTCCGTTTCATCCACCAGACTCAGCATGTGAAGCAGAGCGTGGCAGAGTTGTGTGCGGAGGCTGGCACTGTATTTGAACTCCAGAAAGTCTTCGGCGTCCTCACTCCGCTGCAAGGCCACCACCATGGCGCCCAAGATCTGTGAGAACTGCTCAGGAGACCCGTAACGTTTCCTTTCAGCCGGAACAGAGAGGGCTGCAGCTGATTTGATGCGCACTTTGAAATTCTTGCAGGACTTGACCACCGAAATCAAGGCATTAAAGGCTTGGGCGGTCCATGGGGCTTCCCCTGCAGAATTCACACAAAAAACAAAAGGAACAACAAAGGCTGAGCGAGCTAGGAAACTCACCTGAGATTTCATAACCACAGCCTGCCAAAATTCCAAAAGGGTGTCCTGACAGAAAACCCCTTTGGCAAACCATCAACAGCCTGTTCTCCGAGTGCAGAGAAGGCGGCAGTAAAAGGAACACAGGGAGCTGTGCTATGCAAGCTCAGACCCTCTTGGGTAAGTCTGGTCTACTCTGATTGGTGGCAACTTCCCAGAGAGAAGGATGGTTCTTTCTCAGCCCTGCCTGAAGATGCTCAGGGTCCGAACTTGGGACTTTCCAAATACAGTGAGGATGCTGTATCCCAGCTCTTGTGGTCAGGGAAGGGGGTGATAATCAGAAAGATTATGAAGAAGCTTCAAGCCCTGTTAATGAGCTGCCTGAAGGCATAAGGCTGCCCACTCCGGAAAGATGGACAACACAGGACCCCCTCTGCTCACAGTCTGATCCAGGAGGGCTCTTCTTACATCCTTATGCCACACAGGCTACACAGCAGCAGGGACATCAACTGAGCCAAGAAATGTGCACAGAGGTGCATTTCCCCGCCAAGTGCACAGCCCCATGTACTGCTCTTACACACCTATCTGGGACTGACAACACAGACATCAAGAGGTGCAAGGACGATGCTCTATTGTATCAACTCACCCAGTGGCAAGGCAGGGTTTTTAAATACATTTCCTAGCGCATAGCATGCATTCCAGCGCACTTTCATTGTGGCCTCACTCAGCACGGTAGAGATGAGGGCCTGTATAGACTCCTCAGTGGGGCGTCTGAACTGGGGACTGGTAAGGTGGGTTGGCTGGAGAAAGTGGAGGAGGTTTCCAAGAGCACGTACAGCATTGCTCTTCACCTGGAAGAGATTTGGAAAAAGATGTTGCTGTTGTTGCCGCCAAGTACAGATCCCGGGCTGGGAGTTCAGTCTTACTCTCTGTTACATGACATCGAGAGAGGACCTTCTTGGTGATGGTGCCATGGCTCTAGAACACTCTTCCCATGGAGATCAAGCAGATTTCTACGTTGAAAACGGTCCTCCTCACATCAATAAAAGGTTTATAATTGCTGTTTTTGGTATCATTTTAGACCAGCAAAAAAACCTACTTTAATATTGGCTGGAAAAGGCCTTAGTGTGGTACATGGAAGCCTTCAAAGTAACTGGGGAAGCTGTGGATTGCAACCCAAAACATCTGGAGGGCTCCAGGTAGGGGACGGCAGGTCTAGATGAAATTACCACCATGGGTCAACTTTCAACAAAACCATCTTCTAAAGATAACCCCATTGCCACCCAACTTTTCTGGCCCTGACCAAATGGGTAAACGGATCCCTCAGAATTTCCACTCCTCACCCATTTTGGCTGACCAACCCTGAAATTCTTGATGCTCCAATATTCCAATCATAGCTAAAACCTAAAAGGTGTACAGAAACCTACAACACTGCCAAACATGCACATAGATAGAGAGGGACATACCTTGTCCTTGTCCTTTGATGCCTCAGTTGTTGACCGTAACATCTTCAGCAGCAGCACGTCTGAGAATTCATCTTGGAAGTTTTGTCCCATTAACTCCCTGCTCTCCCACAGCAAAACAAGGGAAAACAAATCAGGATTAGATCTAAATTTAGCAAAATTTATATGCAACATCCTTGCAGTATATGAACATGCCTTTGTAGTCAGATCTACAAGGACAAGGCTCTTCTCTGTAACCAACCACTGGAGATGAGGCAGGGGATGAACTGGGACAACAAGGCATTCTTGAGGTGGCACCACCAAAGAGGATGGCCTGTCCCAAAATTTCAGCACCAGGTAAAAATTTCATTTTCACCAGGCCTTTTAGATTTTTTAAAGACTTTATGATCAAGTGGATGTTTTGTTAATTGTTGTGCATTGAAACCTATTGTTTTATAATTTCCTACTGGAATTTGGGACTGGGAAACTGGAATGCAGGCTTAAATGACTAAAGAATTTAAAAATAGTATTAAAAAGAGAGATCAAATCCCCATTAGGAAAGACAGGTAAGGCCAAAGAATCTGAAACCTACATGTTGATAATCAAAGTATCGGTGAGGTTGCCCAAGGACCACGCTGCTTTGGCACGGACATTGGGAGAACTGTCAGAGAGTGAATTCAGGATCGCATTGGCTGTGTCCGCAAGAAACATCACATCCTAAGGACAGATAGTAGTTGTTACCATATTTTCATTTTTAAACCATATACTTCACCAAGAACCCTGTTGTTCAGCCAACTTTATATTATGCTTCACCAAAGGATCTGGAAGCAGTGACCAGTTCAAAGAGGAGTGGCTACCCTGGCTGAGCTTCTTCTAAACTCGGCCAGTTACCACTGGCTAAGAAGCTTTTTTGTTTCTACCTGCAACTGACCAAGTTACTCATAGGGTTAACCAAGAGAAGGACTGGGCAGACTGAAGAGCCAAAGCACAGTGGGATGGACTACGCAGCGACTTGTGAAGGGGATTGAGAAGGGTGAGGAGAAGCAGCAAACAATAGGAAAGAAGGTTGGAAGAGTTCATCGGAACAGGAAGACTGGAGATGGCCAAAATAGGAAGGCAGGAGGGGAGGTGGTCAAAAAGAAACTGCCAACAAACAAACAGAAAAAAGATGAAGGGCCACACGTTCCAGCAATGATTTGAAGTAACCTACAGGTCTTTGGCTACAGGCCTCTAATTTTATTATAATGCCAACAACTGCAGAGATATAAAAGTATTCCTGCCTCTAACATGATATTTTCAGCAACTCTAGAACTGGGGGGGGGGGGAGGCACCCCCTTCCCATTTGACCAGCACTTGGACTGGAGAGACAGGCTGTTTTTCAAAAGGGAGGTTCTAACTCAGCTATCTTGACATGGCAGAGATGTCTGCCAACAACAGTGAATTCCTATGATTCTTTCCTTTAAAAGCCAGCCTTCTGCTGCACAACTGAGCACTGCGTGGCATTTTCCCTGATGTCCTGTCACTCTGATTGATCTTTTAATTGCCAACAGGCTGAACAAGGGGCCCAAATTTCACCAGTGCCCTGATGCTACAAGGGCCTGCAAGTACGTTTGCTTTTAATTGGTGTTCTAGCGACTCAGAATCAACGGCAATTACCTCAACCCGCTAATCTTATGCTTGCACTAATCGCAGCCTATCATTACATTAATTGTTTCTCAGTACTCCCTGGTGACCTTGCAAATGCTAATCTGCTCCTCAGTGTCACATCTGGCTCATCCTCCCCTTTCTTGCCATTACTGGTTACCCTTTTTTAAAAGTGTTCAGCATCGGCTGCTAAGCTGTTCTTGCCCCTCAGTGTTCCATTTTAAAGAGCCTCCCTGCTTTCGAAGCAACACAGATTTGGGGCTTTAACAAAAAATGCCACTGTCAAAGTGCTGGTCATTGCTTCAAAGGTTTCCTTGCCCTGGATGGATATTTATCCAAGACCCAAGCATATCCATGATAGGTACCCAGGAAGCTTTAAATCACAAGTTAAAGGTCAGCGTAAGGTTTGAAAAATCCAGATGTCTAATATGACCAAGAACCAGATGGCCAGCTCCCTAGCAAATGATCCGAGTAGAAAAACTGCGGGCACTCGCCACCCTGTGCTGTTGCAAATTCCATTTCCAAGCTGCATTGTGGACTATTCGTGAAAATGGGGGTGTGAGTAAGAAGCATTCTGGTGGCTTGGGAGTAGGTTCCATCTGGACCCAGCAGCTTGCCTTGCTGCCTCTTGATCATTTTTCTCCCAAACTGAAAAGCTTCAAATGCTTGAGCCTTTCTCTCTTAAATAAATCTTATAAAGTTATACCGGTCAACTCCGCAGCTAATCCTTTAAACTTTGTGGGCCAGGTTTTGCCTCAAACAGAACAATGTTTGAAGCATCCAAGATATCCATATTCACTAGTCCAATTTAACCAATGCTAGAAAAAGGAGCAGTTAGACCAGAAAAGTGTTACATCAAACTAGCAAAGAACTAGCTGCCAAGGGGAGTCAGAAGGAGCTTCCAGCCAAACACACACAGAAGCTTTACCAACCTTTCATTTTTCTTTTTGGACTACAAAAAAGACTACACACAGGCAGATGAGTCTGTAGAACTTGTAAAGAGAATAGCAAGTTATACTCTTGCTATTATAGTATAGCAAATTGTGCATTTATTTACAAGGCTATCTATTCAGGCGGTACTAGCAACATAATTTTTTTTTAAAAATGGGAAAGAGATGTTTGTGTCATAACCCTTAGCAAGTTTCATTTTGCTTGGATGTTGCACAGAACACACATAAGGCATGGTAAGCAATTTGTATTCCATCTTAAAGAGCAAATTCAGGTAAGGCAAGGAAGGCAAGGCCTACCTATTTATTAATGGGTTGTTGGTTCATATTTGTTTTTCATGTTGCAAAACATGATGTGTTTGTTTGGCAGCCAACAAGTCACACCTAATGCATCTTAGCTGATCTGAAGTAAAATTCCAATGCTTGGAAGGCACCTTGCCCAAAATCGTGCATTTTAAACCTGTTTTTAGCACCAAATCAATACAGCCGAGGACCTCTACCTAGAACTGGAAAGGCTACTTAAGAGTCCAACTGAGGAACTGGCTGAAGAACCCTACTAGTCCCATCTCACATCAAAATAAGAGAGCAAAGCAAAGGAACCAGAAAAGACTCATCAAGTTCTGACCTGCCGAAGACACGGGAAGGCAACATAGACTCCAAGGGCTCGCACGGCTGCAGCTTTCACCAGTGGATTCTCACTGTGGTTGAGCCCCAGAAGGATGGTGATGCAGAGGATTTGCTTGTCATCCTACCATCAGCAACAAAGAGAAGTCATCCATCAACTGCTGTTCAGCCAGACTCATTTTGCTAAGGATTTCAAGCCAGGGATTAAGTAGGAGTAAATTTAAACTGCCAGGAACTGTGGACACTAGCAGGACTGAAGGTATTGCCAAAGGATCCACAAGGCTGTCAGAGCGAGCCCTGTTCAGATTGGCAGGCTCTAGCATCACTCCCTATACTTAAAAAGAGGTGATGGGGCAAGAAAGGAGCGTAAAACAGAGGAAGCCACCATCTATGTCGCTTCTGAAACACTGCTTCTGACAACATACGGACCACAGAGGAAAGAATCAGGCACCACTTCCTGCAAACTTAATCACAGATCGGCATATAGCAGCAAAGTCACAGGCTGCAATCAGTTGGCGATTTAAGACCTGGATTCTGCAACTGTCCAGTTCCAGACAGTCATCTTGATAGCAAAAAGTCTGTTAAGGTTGATGGGTTTTATCCTCAAAACTAACATCTCTTACAGTATCATCCTACAATTAGGAAGAAAGGCCTACAACTCTTTGCACGCCCCTGCTGATGGAGCTGTAGCCCATTTTTCTGTCTAAACCTGCTCAGGATTGCATGCTTACTTGGCTTTTTCTTCCCAGGACCTCCTTCCTTGTTTAGTTCATTTGGCACCACTGTGTCTACAACCTGGAGTATCTAATTGCTAAGGTGACAAATTGCCGACTCAATTAACATTGCCATGACTGTAATGAGAGAACTGACATCAAATGGATTAATTGAATAGATAAATTATGTGGTGCTCAAAAGGAAATTTTGCCTGCATTGTATTTGGTATAATGAATGTTAGAATTAATTGCCTGAACATAATGTAAGCATAAAGTATAATGAAAATTAAGACCAACTTCATGGGGCTGAAAAGGAACAATTAGCTAACGGAGTAATAAGAAGTCTTTTTTTAATTTTTATGCTCTCCTTAACTGTTGAGTCAGAACACAAAGAAAGCCCAATGCAGCACACAATTTCGCTATCAGAACTTCAACATTCTAGCTGATCCAAATACCGGGACTGTGTTTGGCTGCTACTTATTCACAGAAGCTGCACAGTTTGTGAGGGTGGGAGGGCAGTTCGGTTCATCTGCAACAGAAGAGCTGCTTCAGACCCCCCTTTGTCACCCCCATTAACTTGGGGGGAACAATGTGGTGACCACACATGATACTGCTTTCATACAGCTGTGGTGGGTGCATTTGTGGAACCAGACTTTTGAGTTGCTGCTAGAGCAGGCCTGGGCAGATGACAGATCTGGACCTCCCAGCAGATCTCAGCACAACTTGCTAACGGATGAGCAGGGATTTCTGCCCTAATTTTTTTAAACAGAGGCGAGTATTTTGTCAGTGCTTCTCCCTCTCATCCTAAATTATTTCGCTCAAATTCAGGCAGCCTGGGGCAACCAGGAATGGATTTCTATGTGGAAGGTCTGCATGTTCTCTTCAGGTTATAATATTCAGAATTCTTTCATGTTCAGAGTATATGTCTCTTGCAGCAAGAAAAAAATAAGCAAAGCAGAACCCACAACCCTGTGCTTGAGCACCAAAACAAAGGCAATCAACAGCCAACCTAAAGGGAGACATTGTTCCCTCAGCTTCCTGCTATGATAATCAAGCCTGATACAGTCAGTTGCATTCCAGAAACTGGCATAAATTCAGAAGAGCTCCACGCGGTTTTCCTTTTGCCTACACCCCATGAGCATCTCTACATTTGATTGACGCATGCCCACTTGAAGTACGCCACCTCCTCCAGGACAAGGTCAAGGCCCCGATGGGAGAAGACAGACTCTCAGCCTGATGGTTTGGGACAACTGCAACCATCGCTGATCATTGGCTGGGGCCGATGGGAGTTCTCCTCTGTAGGACACCAAGGTTTGGAGGACTAGTTTAAAACACTGTGGCTTTAGTTGTGATGTTTAGGTTCAATTTTTGCTTTATGAAAGAAAAGAAAAACCAAATCTGGGCAGTCCGTACAACATGCAAATACTATCTTTTTTATATCAAGTTTTTTATCTTGCTCTTGTAGCACCTGACACAGAGCGGTGTACTCAGTTATGCAAGTTTGTGGCTGTCCCCTTTGCTTTGCTGTGTGCAATATATATTGTTTTCCCAGATATCTTGCTGTTCCCATTGATTATCTTTGTTTCTATCACCTAAGCCAAGGGGCAGTTACTTCACTCTATTGTGATCCTGTTCTCAAAAAGGAATGCCAACAGAGAAAGTACCAACATACTTACCGGGAGATGGCTGAAAGCTTCTGGCAAGATAGAAGAGAGAGCATTGCATGTGCTGGTCTGAAGAGTTGGATGCCCGGCGTTTTGCAGTGCACCTGGTAAGGGGCCATTCAGCATCCTTGTCCAGAATGTTACAACCTACAAGGCAGGTAACAGCTCTGTTGCAGTTGGGGAGAGCTTCTCTTTTCATAAATGCAGCGAGACAGTGCAACTGCAGAGCTTGAAGAACATCACCATCCTCCAGCAAACTGCTTCCATCTGGGGCACAATCTCATGCATGTTTGCAGCAGAAAGGAAGCCTACAACTCACAGCACTGAATGGATCCTGGGAATTGTAGGAATGCTTTCTAAGCTATCACATGATTGCACCCTTGTTGTTTTAAAACAGAGGCAGGCATAAGGTAGATCAGGTCTGGCGGGTAAGTTTGAGCAGTATGAAGCAGATGGGCTTTCTGACTCGCAACTGCTTGAGGGCACGGCCTGGAAATGCACAAAGCAGTTACCTTGGTGAAAATAAGCAAGTTTGGGTCTGGTTAGTGCTAGGAAGGGAGACACTCTGGAAATCACACAAGTTCCACAAAGGAAGAAAGGTGAGATATAAAGGCAGTAAATAAATAATATTAGCACAAATTGGGAAGGTTATCTGGAGATAATATGGCGGGAAGAATAAGTTGGAGGAAGAAGATAGAGACTTAATGATAATCCTTTGCTACAAGAAAATGTTTTGACTAAGTCAAAAGATGTGTTTGGATAATTTTTTAGATTATATAATACAAATGAGGTCTCCATAACCACAATTTGGGAAGCCAGTAAAGCTTATATGATAGGATATTTTTTAGAAACAATGTCTAAGGAAGAGAGAGAGAAGTCAGCAAAAAAAATATTTTTGGAGCAAATTTAAATGCTAGAGGAGGAACATAAAAACACCAAGATAAACTAAGTTTAACTGAACTCAGAAATCAGCTAGATATGTTGGGAGACAGAAGAGGTACAAAAGAAGTTGAGATTTTTAAAACAGAGACATTTTGAACATGTAAACAAACCTGGAAGATATTTAGCATATTATCTTAAGAAGGAAGTGGAAAGAAGATCTATAACAGCACCAAAGAAGGATAATGGCATAAAGGAAAGGAAATAAAAGGGAATTCATGAGCAATTTATTAATTTTTTTCAAAGCTATACAAAAAAACCCTCAACCCCAGAACATGGGATAGAGAAGTATATCAGGGCTTGAGAAATTTACTTCAGAGAAGAGGAAAATATTGAATGATACTATTACTATCCAAGAGCTATCACAAGCTATCAGCAAATTGAAAAAAAAAAAGATAAAGCACCTGGTCCTGATGGATTTATGCCATGTACTATGTACTATAAATGTTTAGAGGAAAAAACTAATTCTGCCACTACAACAAGTAATGAATGAAATTAAAGGATTATTGCCACCAACATAAGAAGCTTGTACATCACTGATACATAAAGAAGGCAATGATCCTATGTAAACCACACTCTTATTGACCTATTTCATATAAAAGTTTTAAATAAATATTTAATTAAATGTTGTTCATAAATGTTTTACTTCAATAATGGCAGAAAGATTAAGAAAATGTATAGAAAAAAGATCCACACAAACCAAACTGGATTTGCCCCTAAAAGGAATATGAAAGACAATATACGTTTTGTGATTGATACAACTGAATGGATCAAGAAGAAAAGGAAAAAAGCTACATTTATTCTTTTAGATGAAGAGAAAGCCTTTGATAATGTGGCTTGGTCTCCTTTAATGAAAACCCTCCAATATTTAGACTGTGGCTCAAGCTTTCTGAATTGGATGCAGGCAATTTATGCTAGACAACATGCTAAGATTTTAATTAATGGTGTATTAACTGACAGCTATCCAATGGAGAAGGTGACACATCAAGGATGCCCTCTATCCTCTCCTATTTAATCTGGTATCGGAAATCTTATTTATTATTGACATCTGGGAGCCATTTCTTAGGTGAGCAGAAGATCAAAAATCCAGGCCTGTATACATACCAGGTTGACCGGCACCCGTTGGTCCACAGCAGGAGCTAGATCTGGCTTGTACTGCTGAATTATGCCTACACCGAGTTCATCTAGAAGCTGCCAAAAACAAGAGAAGCAAATGAGCAATTCCATTCTCTCTTCTATTTGAAAAATAAAATAAAAGAAGGATGAATGAATGAGTCAGTCACAATATAAATGTCTTTGTACTGAAAGTAGTTAAGTCACAGACAAAGAAGAAATCAAAAGCATTATTTGGGAAGCTTTTCAAATTCCTTTTATTTTCCTGCAGCATGCACGATTTCTCCGTAAAACCTAAACGAACCAGGTTTGTCTTTTTTTAAAGAAGAAGAAAGGAAGGGGACTGCTAAAAATTGTTAGAGATGGCCACTACAACACAAAAGAAGTGTTTTATTTTGTAGTATGGCACAACCAGAGTAATTAAAACAAAAAGGAGGGCACAGATCTTTAAAATGAAAACATCCTGCAATCACTGTTCCTGTTTTCTGCCGGTAATGGATCAAACCCCTGCTCTTAATGCACGGCCGTTCCGACATTCCCCCAGCCCCAGCAGTTACCTTCTCGGGAGACAAGTACTGAATCACATCCCCCTTACTACTCTCTCCCCTTCCTGGATCACGCAGACTGCATGTGGCCCAGCCACTTCCTTTCATGCTCTGGTGAAGCCCAACCCAGCAAAAGATTTGAAAAACTGTGCCATGTGAAAGAGACATAAGCAAAAACAGACAAGACCTTCTTGTCCAATGAGTACCTCTGCTAGCAAAAGTTTTTTCCATGAACGTCTGAAAACAGTATCATTGCTATGGCAAATGCATACATATATTTGGGCACTCTTACCTTTGCCCCGTGAAGCTGGATGGACGGATCTGTTTCCTCCATACATTTACAAGCCACTTCCCCAAGCTCTAGCAAATAGCTCTGAGAAACTGAGAAATAGCCCTTAACCAGTAATGCTAAAACCTGCAACAGATAAAGAAAGAGGGGTGGGGAGTCCGCCATGCTGAACCCTATGAAAATGCAGCAGTCTTGTATTAAGTTCACACCATCAATCCATTTAGACCAGTACTATGTTCTCTTGCCTAGCAAGAAACCTGTGAAGACTCTAGGATTACCCAACAATCTACTGGTCTACTTCCTCCCAGCATTTCATGGATCACAGCTCTACGAGGCTATTTTTGCTGGACGACTATCCTAGTTAGCACGCTTGCTTTTCAAAACCAGGCATTTTCCTTGCCAGGACATACACACCTGCAATGCCTCCAGCCGAACAGGAGATGGTTCAAATGGGTTGGCAGTCAACACGCAGCCAGCATCGCTGTCTGAGTAACAGTCCTCCCTGGGCAGCACAGCCAGAGAGATACAGAAGAAAAGGAGCCAGCAGGGGTCTGCCGATGAGTTCTCCACGATACTGAGGGACTCCTCTGAGGCCAGAAGGGTTTCTCTGCACCATTCAGGTGCATTAGAACAGCGTGGGGTGGCGAGTCCACTGTTGCTGAGCCCTGACGAGCTGGGCTCTTGCAAAAGGAGACGCACTTCCGGCAAAGGCGCTTGAGCTGATACTATAGCTCCCAGTAGTGTGAGGCTTGACACGCGAACGTTGACATCTAGGAGAAAGAACATGGAGCATGCCTGTGAGATGGCTACAGAGAGCCCAACGTCAGCCTATTTCAAACCAGCACAGGCATAAGTTCATAGTGCAATAAATAGCAAAGGTTACCCCCAGCACCTCTGCAGCAGTGTCTCAAGACGACACGGGGCTTCATGCTGACTGAGATGAGGGAGGGGAGGAGTTGGCTGAGGCTTCAAGGACACAGCAGCCGAAGGTGGGTGGGAATCTCGCCGGCAGCATTCTGTGGAATGCTGGTCCAGAGCAAGTGGAGGGAGGAGAGACTTGGGATGCTGGAAGCCAGGGTGAGACATTAAAATGGAGAGCCGTAAGCAGCCAGTCAACGTGATTTGTGGCTCAAGAGACCGAAGGAAAGGATTTGCCCCAGAGGCAAAGGCCTGGCTGGCACCCACAGCTACAATGGGTAGCGGGGGGCTTCTATTTCCCTGATAGCTTGATATCCACTGTCTTTAGCTTTTCATCACTGTGAAGCTCATTCTCAGCTGTTTTGCAGCTGGACACTATTCCATCATTTGTAACCAGGCTTTATGCACCGCTTGAGCAAGACCAGCCTGCTTCTGCCTTTTTTTGCACAATAAAGATACTTTTGTTTGTTGTTGGGCTAAGAAGCTGGGGCATTCCTCTCCAACCACCCAGGGTTCTGATTTTGACAGTCACAACAAATAATCACGGCATGGGGCACTCCAAAGCAGGGCACCCATACCAGCATGCCCAACAATCCATGGGATATAGTTATGCGCGAACCAGGCCAATGTGTAGATGCTGCCCCCCCCTGCACAAGAGATACGGGAACCCCTGGCTTGAACAATTTTGCAGAGGCTTTCTGCACACTCCTACGATATTTAAATAATATATTCTGGCTGTGGGAAACAGCAGACACCATCCCATGGTTCCACGGTTGACATGAATGAGAGCGGCACCCATGGAAAGGCTCCTTCCATGAGTTCAACGCTTGTTCCTTGAATGGAAGCTCCTCCTGTTCAGAAAAGGAAAAGGCTGGATGCCACCCTCCCGCTTGAACTGAAAGCAGCAACACCCTTGGCTTCTTTGCTGAAATGGCTGCTTGACAGCACAAGATTCTAGCACAAGGCACAGCAGACGCAAAACTGCTGCACAGACCCGTGCGACTCAACCCTCAGCATACCTTTGTGTCTAATGTATGGCTTGATCTGGTTCCATACTCTTGTCAACAGTCCAGGCTTTAAGCGGCTATATGGTGCATTCAATACGAGATTGGCAAGGCACTGTCAATATGAAGGAAACAGAAGGGACAGTGTTCAGCGCCTGTGAACAGTCATAAGCTGGACACACAAATATCTCCTATGCTACAACAGATCTACAGGAGGTCTCTCCGGACAAGAAGCAGAAATAGCAACAAATATTTTTTAAAAAAATATTGTAACTTCTGAGAAGCTCATTATACACCTACAAAGATAACGCTCTAAAGGAACCATTTAAGGGATCTTTAGACCGGAATAAAAGGCCTACAACGGCCAGCAGACTCCAGCCATGCAAGCCACGCTTTGGAATGCAGGCCACCATGAACTCGAGTGAAGGAGGAAGATACATCCAATGAATGAATAAGTCACGGTATCATGTGCAATACGGTTTATCAGAATCTGCCTGAAGTCAAAAGAGCAGTCTCAAATCACACTGTAAAAATATTATGTACCTTATCAATACTTTTAAAATATCCTTTTGCAGACAAGCTCAAAGCAGTCTCTGTGAGTGGACACTCACCTTGATGATCTGGGTAAGGGTCTGGGCGGAGGATTCGGCTACCAGGGCCAACAGGAGACAACGGTGAAGCTCGCGGATACTGGACGCAATGGCCACTGAGAAAGGCGTGAATGCTCTCCTGTGATCGTTTGCATCTTCGGCGATGGACAGGAACTGCTTGGAGCCTTCCAAGATGGCTGAGAGAACTTGGAGGGCACAGGCCCGCATCTGAAACAGAAGGGGCTGCCATTCATGGGGAAGGAACACAGCTCAGCGGCGGAACACATGCTTTCCACCTGGGAGGCCTCGGGATTGAGCCTTGTCATCTGAATGCAGAAGGGACCAGGGAGCGGCTGAGCAGGAAGGCCCTTTTCTAGTCGAAACCCTGAAGGGTCTCTACCAGGCAAGGTAGACACAGAAAAGGGATTTCTGGCATTAGGGTCCTCACCTAGCTACACAGAGTCCCTATATGGACATTCCCCCTTCCTCAGGTCTAAACTTTTTTCCCCAGCCACCGATCCAATGGAGGGTTTCCAGTTTCAGTGAATCCCCCTGCCCTAAAGGTTCAAATACAGGCACTTAAGAGCTTAAGGAACAACCCTGTGCACATTTAGGACGCAAAAGCAGGACTACAACATGGCTGGGTGCATCATGCTGGGCAGGGTAGGCCTCCTTTCTGTCTAAACGTGTCTTGGACTGCATCTTGAAATAGCAAGAGTTCTTCCTGCTACCAGTGAACTTTTACCTTTGGAGAAGGATCTTTCAAAGCAATAGTCATCAAGGACATGGACTGGGGGCTTCCAATGGCAGGTGCATCAGGAACAAAGGCTGACCAGTAACCATAGAGGACCCTCTTCTCTATTGATTTCACGGTAGAAAGGAAGCAGGTTAAAGCCCCATGGCGAACTTTGGCTTGGAAAGACCTTGCAGAAAATGAAGAAGGAACTATGAGTCCTTTGCCTCCCTCCCCAGCTGCTTCCCGTCCAAGAAACAAGAGAGGTCAACCCTCTCCCATCAGCCAGAGACCAGTGGAGGCAATGGCTTGCCTGCCGTCACTACTGACAGGAACAACAGATCCTAGCTCCATCAGGAATGCAGGGAGGCGCCAAGAGCTTCTCTCCCCAATGCTGCTTGTAGTCTCTGTCCCAGGACACAGATGGAGTTTTTCCTCCTACAACCCAGAGTTGCGGAGAAAGGTGAACAGGGCTTCCTAGGGCTTCACGGACCACACAGAAAGTGAAGAGGGCCACATGTGGCCCGCCGTTTGCCCATCCCTGCTCTGCAGGCTACCAAAAGGGCTGAGGTCAAAGCTACAACGGAAGTAAAGTGCATAACTCTTATTTCCATTACAAGGTTTACCTGTGTCTGGAACCAAGGCCAGAAACAGTCCAAGAAAAGGAGAAACCCAAAATGCAAACCTGAGTGCTGCGCAAGTGAATAGGGGACGTGCAGAGGACAGCAAGGAGCAACAAACCTCATTTTGCTCTGCAGGCCACCTTCAGCATCCGAATACTCCGAGTCACTGCTGCTGATTCTTTTCCAGCCCAGAGCATGAGATGACAAACGGTCTTTCACGGATGATGCACCTGTGTCCTCTGAAGCCTGATTCAAGACATTCAAGCCAGGGTTCCACTGCACATCCCTGGGTAACTTTGGATTTTCTTTCCCGCCTCCTTTGGCAGCTCTTTCCTCCTCTTCTTTCAGACCTTCCTCTGACTTCCCCTTCTTCTGCTTTGCTTTGGGCTTTTTTCTTCTGCTCTGTTGTGGAATGGGGGTGGGGTCACATATACTCAGAGAGATGAATTTTATACCCAGAACCACTCAATCACTTTTTTATCAAACAGAACACTTCAGTTACGCAGCTGTCTTTCAATACTTGACTGAAGTATAGCATACCAGTAGACAAAAGTATATATAGCTTTGTTCTAAATTGTTGGGAACCAACCCATACAGAAACAATATCCTCATATGACAGATGGAGAGCAGAAGAAACTGAGGTGGCGTTTGGATTAGGACCCTTTAGGTCAGCACTTAACTCTTTTTTCCGAGATTCGCACTATGTCTGCAAGCCACTCAGAGCAATCTTTTAACACAATAAAGCTCATCTCTTCTCTTACACCCTTTGAATCCCACCTTTTCTGGGAAGCCTGGCACATGCAGCCATGCCCTGGCTTCTGTTGCTGATGTGTGTTGTGCCAGCTGGAAGGCGCTAGGCTGGGAAAGGCTGCTAGACTATCCTGCAACACTTGGGCAAGCCTCTGAGGTGGAAGTGAAGCTCTTATATATTTATTTCACTTCCTCCCATCTTCCATTCCTCCTGTGTTAAATTACAGATGTAGTCTATTATTAAAGATTGGGGCCAAGACCTGTTTTACTCTGAAAAGCACCACGATCACAGATGCTATTTTAACATGACAATGAAGTTGACCTTCATCAGCACAGAGAAACACACATTCAGTGTTGGATTCTCCTTTATGCACTTGCTCTCTAAGCAAAGACTCCTCCCTTCCCATGCACCACTGCAATCTGTTCTTGCCAGTTACCCCAGACCCTTAAAACAGACAGAAACAGAATTTGATCAGCATAGGCAAAACATGTCTGGTTTCTGCTGGGTGAAGTTTCAATCATCCTTAACACACACGTAAGTCACAACAAATATTTACCCCAGCTGGCTTAAGGTTGCTCAGTTCCAGCCTCTCCTGTTTGACCGGTGATTTGCTGTCATACTGCGGAAGCACTGCTGAGTATAAGACGGCTGGCATTTCTATATTCAATCCAGGAAGTCCATGAAACATACATTTCTAAAATCAGCAAAAAACACATTAGATGTGAATTATTTTGTGGCGGCAGGATGACATTCAGTAAATTCCTTGTCTTTTTGCAAATTGTCCTCTTTAGTAGCCCGAAAATAATTAATCTTTTTTTTTCAAGGCACATTTGAGGTACCTCCAAATTCCTGTGTTACCCCTATTACTTAATCTTGCTAAATATTCCTAGCCTCATTCAAACCTCCATTACCATATACTTCAAACGCCATCTAAAAATTTGTTGCAGGGTTTTTTAAAAAGCTTGCCAAAAAGTTATTTACACCAATTCAGTGGATGTCTGACTAGAATTCAGTGGATGTCTGACTAGAACTCAGTGGCACAAGAGCCTTTAGTATCTTGCATGATGTCTGTTAGTCCAATAGTTCCAACTCAAGTAGCAACAGATGCAACTTAAGAGCTGGATCAGTTCTCCATCTTGAGTAAATCCATTTTTTAATGGCTGTCTCTGTGGACACACGGCCTATGATTGGATGTCACAGCTGACCAGAATTTATCATGATGAAAATGAACCGAATCTCTCCCAGGTCTTGCCCATTTCCCCTGCCTCCTCCAAACCTTTCACTTCCATTGTGGATTTGCATGACACCCACACCCTGAACTGTGGTCAGTGATAACTCAGGTTTTTGAAACAAGCCAGCTTCATAACTTGCAATCTGAAGTTGGCTTGTTTTAAACAAACTAAGATTAACCTCAAATTGTCAGTCTGGATGACACAATGAGTCACACTTAGTCAAAACCAGAAGCAAATGTTCCCAAACTTCTTATAGCTGCAGAAGCGGGAGAGCATGTAAAGCCATGGGGAGGCTAGCCTCTTTTGTCAAAATAATTCACTGGCTACCCTACAGCCCTAAAAAAAATTACAAAGTGGAGGATTCCCAAAAGAGATGCAAGATTTGGGGTGTGTAGTGCACGGCTGATCGTCCAGGGTGGTTTTTGGCCAGCATCACAGGAGTTCACTTTCCTCTGCAAGAAAGGGTTGGGATCCCCATTTTTAGAGGGTTTTTTAAATAAACAACTCACCTTTAATACAGCAAGGAGGGAGCCAAGCTGATCTGTCTGTGTTGGCTTCATCTTTCCACCATTCAGGAGCGACTGGATCCCTTTCAAGGCATTCTGCAACAACTAGAGGGGAACCAAAAGCAACAGAACTAGCTAATCTCCCCAGCAACTTGGCAGTCTCTGAAGTCACCATGGTACAGCATGTGATACAATCATCATTCAACATTCTACAGGCAAAAACTTCCCAAACTGAACTGAAGTTACAAGATTCCTCACATAGAACAGTAAATTATAGTCACAAGCTCAGCATGTTGTTTCGGCCAAAGATTATGACTTGGGCTCACAGAAATGTAATTCACATGAAATCAATGTCCACATGTTATTTGACTGTTACACAAGCAAAATCCATGACTGTAAATATAAAGATACAACTCTAAGAGCCGATGTGGTTATGGTGTTGGACTGGGAATCAGGAGATCTGGGTTCTAGTCCCCGCATGGCCATGAAGCCCACTGGGTGCGATGAGCCAGTCATGGACTTTCGGCTTAACCTACCTCACAAGGTTCTTACTATGAGGATTTAATGGAACGAGGTACCTTATCAGCCACTTTTGCTGCTTTGCAAGAGAAAGAAAGATGGGGTATAAATGTAATGTGGAAAGAAAAAGCAGCAGCAGCATTTCCAACCAACCAGTTCTGAATGAGCTCTGTACAGCTGATTAAGTAAACTGTGGTTTAAAAGGCTGCCGCAATGAGTTCACATCCCTTATTTCCCAAATGGCCACACACGTGCCTACCATGCAAAATGTGATATCATCTACGCCAGAGCCTTTGGATGACTGTAGTACACTAAGGAAAACCTGAAAGCAGAGCTCTCGGTAGGGTTCCTCCAGGTATGGTTGTCCAGGTATGCTAGAATGCAAGACAGTAAAATCTGAGTTTCAGAGGGTACAGGCAAGGAAGTTTACTTACAGAAAAGATGCAATGCTGGCAAAATAACACAGGAAATGAACTATAAAAGGCGTTTTTATAAAAAAAAAAAAGCTGCAGCAGGTCATTATTTCTTGAACTGTTGTGCTATTTAAATCCCCTTCCAACAGCTGTTAGGTGTTTACCATTTACAACAGTTCTAGAGGAAGAATGCAACATGGCCATTAAATGTCCCATGCTAATGAAAACAATGAATCAATTATTAAGGTAGCAATAATAAATAGAGAAGGGATAGCTAAGCTGCTGTGGGTTTCTTCCAGAAAAGAAGGTGGAATATAAATAACAAAAAAACAAGCACAAATAAAATGAACCTTTAAATTGCTAGATCTGTCAACTAACTTTTTAGGGGATTAACTGGTATGGGGAAATTGAAACTGTAAGAACTACAAAAGAAGGGTGGGCAAATTTCTTCTAAGACCACTTGGGCTCTTGTGTGCTCCGGTAAACAAGGAAAGACTAAAAGAAATCTTAGAAAATAGCCGAACGATGACTGTTCCCTTTTGCAAAAGGTATTCCACTCTATGTCAAAAAAAAAATCTATATTTTGATATTTAAGCACATTTCAGTTTAGGCAATTTCCAGCTCCATATTATGGCCATGTTTTTTGGTTCTTTTTTTTTTTTCAAATTCCGAAGTACAAGGCTGTAACATCTCTCTGGCACTGCAGCTGGGAATCTTGCTTGGTTCCTCCTATCCACCCTGCCCTGTACAGCTGGAATGGAAGCAACCTCTCCAGCTGCTTCACTGGGGTTGTAAGAATGACCTCGGAGAAGGGCTTTGGGGGACAGAGAGAGGAGGAGATGGGCGCCACCCAGATACGATGTGCCCTGGCAGGGTCTCAGCCTCCTTCCCTCCCTCTCCAAAGTGCTGTGCTGCTTAGCAGAGCACAACAAGCACAGAGACGGCTTTCACCCTCGACCCTCCTTCTGCCCTACATAAGATGCCCATAGCCTTCCAACTTCAGAGAGTTATGGGCAGCCTCACAGGACTGGGCCCTCAGTTCCAAAATTAAAAAGCAGGTGGCTGATCAAAGAAAACTTTTTAACGAGTAGCTAGCCCTCCAAATTACATGAAACCTGGACTATAGTTTTAAAGAGAACAGCTTGGAAGTAAGTACTTGTGTAATTTATGCAATGTCACTTAAAAGTGAATGTGCTTTGAAATGAACTGGAGACGGACAAATTAGCTGCGTCCCTTTAGACCAGTCAAACTCCCACAATCCCTCACTGTTGGCCAGGGCAGACGTGAGCTGCAAGCCAAGCCATCTGGAGGGCCACACGTTGCCCACCCCTGCTTTAGATTAATACTTGTTTCTGTGGTTTTCAGTGACATACGAATCCCCTGCTGCTGCCCCGGAATTAATGAAATGGGAACAAGCCACAATCTTGATTGCTTAAGCTGTACCTCAGACAGAGGTTTGCCATGCCATGCACGGCAGCCCTCCTGAGCTCGATATCCGTCTGAGCTGGGCTGCTGAGCTGTACCAGGAGTCCACTTTCCCCCAGCAAATCTGGAAGATACTGAAGGATAAAACACCAGTCATCACATACACTAAAATACATGATCCAGAAAGGAATTCCCCGAAACAGGAATCAGAATTAATGAGCTATTACAAAACCAGGGAGCAATATCAGTGTTTGAATTCCAAGATGCACTGATAGATCTGTCTGCAACAAAAGAGATATCCCAGCTCTACCGCTAGCTCTTCTGCACAAATGGTGCCAAAATGAACACAATTTTGTTATTTCACCCAGTGGTTAAACCAACCAGCATTAAAGGAAAAGATATAGTAAAAAGCCATCATTATCATTAAAAATTATTAGCCACTCCACATAGAAAGTTGAAAGTTAGTTTGAAAATTTAATTGCTGAAAGGGAACCATCTGCCACCGCTGATAGTCTTATTGTATGACACAAAGAATTGTATGAAAATCAATTTTCCCAACACAGAAATTTTCCCCAATTGTTCCAGTACCAACTCAATGAAACTCATAGGTTTGTGTTCCGAGGGCAAGGTCCTGGCACACCTCAAATAACTCCCTGTTGGAGCAGGAGGAATGATGGGCCTCTAAGGAAGATACCCTAAAAACTGGCTATAACCCACCTTTTGACATGTGGGTCCATTGTTGTAGACAGAGGCTGCCAAAGCCTGCAGAATTTCAATATGTGTCCAAGAGCTGCACTGCTTCAGTGCAGAGATAAAATAGGGCAGCAGATACTTCAGGCTCACTTCATCAACTATAACCTGCAAACGCAGGAAGAAAACAGGATGTAAGTTCACGGTATGCACTTACACAATCAGTACTACCTCACTGGGTAGTTTGATCCAAGTATTCCTGACAGAGAAGGGAAATGCGTCCTGCACTTGCAATGTATATTCTAATTTTGCAACTGTAATATATGCAGTTTTTGTTCTTGTAATGCACAAAGACAGCCATGGCGGGAAGGATCAATGTACTGATAATGCACTATGGCATAGAATTATCAGATAAACAAATGCTCAACAGTTAGTGCAACCTCTACAATACTGATACCATTACTGAGACAATGTTTCCTGAGTTTGTTTTGCTCTTCCCTCTTCATCCCATTCCCCTTCTCTCTTAAAGTTGCAAGCCTGAGGGCCAGGACTGCTTTGTTCTGTAACAGGACTGTTCTGTAAGCCTCTGCAACTGAACAGTGGGGTATAAATGCCTTAAATAAATAAATCATCCAATGTACAAGAAGTGCTTTTGAATTTGCTCATTTCTCCACTAAGGAATGCAAGAGGCTGCCTTATCCCAGATCAAACGACTTGCCCATATAGTCCAAAACTGACCTGGTTAGCACAGAACACCAATCCCGCAAGGCGTAAGGCCACATGAGATTGAGTGCACTGCCTCCCAATCACTTGCTGCTTCTGCGTTCTTTCTGGCTTACCAAATGATCCAGGTATGCCCTCTACCTGAGCTGTTTGCTGCAACACTCAAGTGGAACCCTGGGCTGTTTTGTAAGTCAAAAAGCAAGCAGAAGCGGAAAGCAGTCACATGGGTCCAGTAACCCCTGGGCTGTTCATTCCTTGTGAACTGAGTAAGTGTCAACTCCGAACGGCAGTCGATCTCAAGCAGAAGCCCTTATCTGTCCCATATACTTCTCAACTAAAGATTAAACCTATACACTTCCCCATGCAAAATGTCACAAATCTCTGATCTGGTCCTACTTCACAGTGTTTAAGATACTGCAAGGAATACAGCAGCAGCAACCATTTGGGCCTATGGCCACAAACAGCTGAACAAAAACATGTGAGGAGACCTATGCACACACACACTATATATGTGTGTGTGTATGTATATATGTATCCCAAGCATGCATTTACCAACACATTTTTTATCTATTATCCACCTTCAAAGGAGCAAAAAAATCCAAAACAAACAAAGAAACTAGTATTCTTACCTGGAATCTGTTAAGCAGTTGATGGATCAGCTGGCAAACTTTGTTGACAAGATGCTCTTGGTTAAGCTGAACTAGTTTACAAGCTTGGACAAGCAATTCACAAACCTCCTGAGAAGAAAGTAAAGCAAAACCAAAAAAAAGTACCGATTAGCCACTCCATGATGCTGTGGCAGTAAATACAGAAGGGAGATTCATGCTGTACTTCTATGTGTGCTTCATCAGAGAAAAGAAGTTCTACAACTCCCATCATTCATGCCGAGAGTTGTAAGACTTTTTTCTGTCCAACCCTGTACAGAATTATTTGTTTCTTCTCTTCTGCTTCCCTAGCCTTAATCCCTTTCCCTCATAGTCTGGCTCCAATTTTCCTGTGTTTCTATGCTTCCATATTTCTTAAAAGTATCTATCAATTGCTTCTCTCTCCACCAGGGACCCTGAGGTACAACGAAATCACAAAAATATTTATCCAAGTATTTTAATAAACTGCTTCCAAGATTTATGAAATGCCACATAGTTAACCATGTTTTTAAAAAATCCTGTCCTTTCCAATATCAGACAGAAACTCAACAAAAATAAGTCTCTTCCTCTGCAAATTGTCACTATTCTTCACCCAACTGCACTCCAATTACTTCACCTCCCCCCCCCCACATTCTCCCCTTCTCTCATAGAACCACATCATCTTACTCTATTTCCCTATGAACAGAAAACTAGGCAACCACCACTTCTTCTAACTTTTTGGCACCATTAAGCATTCTCAGGAAAATAGTATTACTTCCTGTATAAAATAGTAATATACAGTGTGTAATTAATGTTAATTAATTAATTAACTCTTACCATGCCCCATTGTATGCTCAGAAAAGCCCCACGGGGTGTGTTAGGCTAAGAGGCTGCTGCAGCCGGTCCCAGGCTACCCAGCCAGCTTCATGACCAAATGAAGTCTGGAACCCAAGTTCCTCCTTTCCTCAGTTCCCAGGACTGGGAGATGCTGGGACTTGTAGTCGAAAACATTTGGACGACACCATGTTAAGGGATAGCTGCTCTAAGCAATATCCCATGCGGCAAATGTCTTCACCTTGGCGCCCTCCAGACGACAATTCAAACAAACCTGGGCTCGGGGATGCTGGGAGTGGTAGTCCTGAATTGGAGTCGGCTGCTCCACAGCCTCTTACCTCTTCCTCTTCCTCTTCCCCCGTTTCCTCCACCTCTTCCTTCCCCCGCTACTCGGCGTCTTACCTCGGGCCTAGGCGCCACGGCGGCTCCCCCCGGCACGCAGGTCTCAGAAATGAGCTGGTCGAAGAGCAGGTGCAGCTCGGTGCGGCGGCCGCTCTCGCCCCCCGGGGCCTGGCTGGCGTCGGGCCCGGACCGGAGGGCGCCGAGCCGGGCCAAATAGCGCTGCAAGGAAAGCCCAGACTCCGGCTCGAGAGCCATTGCCGCCGCGCTCCCTCCGCTCCCAACCGCCTCAGCCGCCATTTTCCCCGGCGCCGTGAGCCGGTTGCTACGGCAACGGAACCGCTCAAAAGGAAATGCAGCCGGAACTTCCTGTCAAGAACGGAACACCGTCTGCGTGAGCCCCTATCGGGCAGCTCTAGGCTTCTTATCTCTATGGTGAAAGAACTCGCCGATACAATACCTGCTCGTGGCGGGTAGAGCGCCCCCTACTCAACCGGCCCAATATATATTTTTGCGGGTAATTTGCTCTCGCTCCCAGAATTGGTCACTTAGCGGGGCAATCCAATGTATAGTTAGTCAGAAAACAGTCCTACAACTCTCAGCATTTCCCAGCCAAACAAAAAAGTCCTACAAAGCAGCCGGAAAACTGTCCTACATTCTGGAGTTGGAGTGGTTGAACCTTTTTTTGTTTAAACTTGAATAGGTTTGTGCCCTAAACTAGAGATTTGTTAAAGGGACAGAAACAACAGAAATATTTAAGTCTCAAAAGTCAAAGCTATCTCTCTAAACCTCTGCATTGGCACTGGAAGATGAATTCTCCATCAACCTGTGAGAATTAAATGAGCAGCCTTGACCCATGCTTGATGGTGGGATCGAAACAAATGCAAGCAAAAGCAAACTCTTGTGCCACTGCAAGCCATACTTTTCGGTGGACCCCGTTCACACATTACGCTGCTAATCACATACAGGACACTAAAGGCCAGACTACATGCTACATTACATGTGTAGTATTTAAATGATTTTTTAAAGCTTAGTATAAACATGTTGGCCAGAATTGAGACCACCATGCATAAGTGGTATTACTACCACTCTATATGACTCTGGTGCGCCCACAACTGGAGTATTGTGCTCAGTTTTGGGCCCCTCATTACAGGAAGGATAGAGCCAGGTTGGAGTCAGTGCAGCGTAGGGCCTCAAGGTTGGTGGCCGGTTTGCAGGGGATGCCGTATGAGGCGAGACTGAGGGAACCGGGTCTCTTCAGCCTGGAGAAGAGGAGACTCAGAGGGGATCTGTTGGCGACATGCAGGTATGTGAGGGGATGTCACACGGAGATGGGGAGAGTCCTGTTCTCCCCTGCAGAGGAAGGCAGAACTTGCTCCAACGGAGCAAAGCTCAGGGAGCCAAGGTTCAATTTAGATGCCAGGAAGCACTTCCTGACAGTCAGGACCCCGAGGGTGTGGAATGGGCTTCCACGGGAGGTGGTTGAGGCCCCATCAGTGAGGGTGTTCAAAGATAGGCTGGACATGCACATGGTGCGCATGTCATGAGTGGAGCCGGCTGGAGCCGGGGGTCAGACTAGATGGCCCGGGAGACCCCTTCTGACTCGCTCTGTTTCTATGTTTCTAAGTAGAACATGCCCCCTTTCTATCCAGCAGCCCCCCAACCTTGTAAATTCACCCCCTTACCCACGCGCATAAGATAAAGAATGGAGGGTTCTTCGTTACAGAACAGGGTGGCTAGAAGAGCTTATGATGATATTAGGTTCATATCCTTTCCTCTTGCAAGCAACCCAAGGTTCTTCTCTCTATTTTATCCTCAGAACAACCACCCTGTGAGGTAGTCGCCCAGTGGGCTCCATGGCTGAGTGGGGACTTGAACCTGGATCTCCCAAGTCCCAGTCCAACGCTCTCACCACTACACCAAACTGGGTCACATACCGCACTGAGGAAGCTCTCAGAGGCCATTGGTGGGTGGAGTCAAAGTCAAAATGGGTGGGCCAGAAAAAAGCCCGCGGCATTTTAGTTCATAATTACGCTTTCCAAGAGGCATCTTTTAGAATGGACGGGGGAAACTACCCGACCTGGTGTTTTGGGGTTAGAGGGTGTAGTCATCTGAACAGGCCAGGATGGGTTCCCAAGGGGGCTGCATTTGGCTGCAGCGCTTAAGGCTTAGCACCCCTAAGGTTTACACAAAATTTAAATTTAGGAGTGCTTAAAGGCAGGAAGGGTACAACCCCATTTTTAGGATCATGAGTCCCCGAACAAGCATCCTATGTGGGAGAGACTTTGCTAGATAAGGTTTTTCACCCATCCAGCAACAGAATTTCAAAGGGGCAGGAGCAAGACTGGGGAAGCCCCAGGATAACGCATAACCTGAATGCTGTGGTCTCCTCCCCGCTCGTCTCACTGGAATGGCTGCTATTCCCCCACGTGGAGGGATCCTACCCAATCTTGGAGAGCAGCCCACATCCATTGCAACGGCTCTCTCCAACCTCAGATCTGGAAATCTAAAGTATCAGATGCTAAGAGCTATAAGTGTTTCTCTCTAAGGCGAATAAAAACCCCCCAGAGTATATAATTCATTCCTAGACCTGTTAACACAGAGTGTTTCCATACCAGCCTCAGTTCTCCATTGTTGCTGCGCAGAAAATGAGAAAGGCCTATGCTAGAATCAATGGGTGGAGGGAAGCCACCGTCCACAAAATCTTAAAAGAAGCTTCCTGTTTGTTTGAGACAGCCTTGTGCAGCCATGGCAGGTGTTCAAAGAGAGCTCAGATGGTTAGCTTGCAGGAGAGATTCTGGCCCTGAGCAGTGGGTGGACTGGGAAAAACTCCTAGGGCCTTCCAACTTTATGATTCTAGTCATGAATGTGTCCAAACCATTTGAGCACCAGCTTGGGCTGGTGGTTCAGCTCTACCCCTGGCCGTTTTCCATAACCTTGGCTTCAGTAGACGCGGCTCTGGTCACCCCCAAATTGGATTGCTTCAGTGCAATTTCCGTAGGGCTGCTGCAGAAAGCTGCAGCTAACGCGAATTGTGGGAGTCACAATGCCCACAAGTCTGCATTTATAACCTCAAACCTGGCTCGCTCATTTCAGGACAGAAAGAGCAAAAGCTCTGCCATAAAATGGCTGTTGAAAGCCTGACACTGTAAGAACAGCATTACATGCAGGATAAGATTCCTGATTCAAAGGGAAGAAGGAAGGACTCCCTGGAGAAGAGTCTAATGCTGGGAACAATAGATGACAAAAGAAGAAGGGGGCGGCAGAGGATGAGGTGGCTGGATGGAGTCACTGAAGCAGTTGGTGTGAGCTTGGGTGGACTCCAGGGGATGGTGGAGGACAGGAAGGCCTGGAGGAATGTTGTCCATGGGGTCGCGATGGGTTGGACACGACTTCGCGACTCACAATAACAACAAGATGGATAAGATGGAGGAGGAGGAGGATGTAAGTTGCCTTGAGCCCTTTGTAGGAAAAAGGCAGGATATAAATTGAAAAACAAGCAAACAAACAAACAACAACAACCATAAGTGACCTGCAGTTCCCTTAAGACAATCCATTGAGGTGAGTCATTTTCATCTGCGATGGTTTCAAGGCTTTTCCCAGCCCAAATGGTTGCTCCCGCCATGCATCCGGCATTAATGGAGATGGTGGAGGACAGGAGGGCCTGGAGGAATGTTGTCCATGGGTCCAACACGACTTCGCGATGAACAACAACAAGATTCCTGATCTGATCAGGAATTCCTGTTGCAAGTCTTGCTTCCCACATACATCTTAGAGATGCCAGTTGTTTACCCGTTCTGGAGGCTCTACCCGGTGCCTCCTGCATCCCTGTGTCCGGGATTCCCACCTCCTTCCAAATCGTGTATGTAACTGATAGGTTATAAAAGCATTTTGTACAGACTCCCATCTTCAGGGCCTGCCTACATGCCGCATGTATTTCCTGTATGTCTGAATAAATTGCAAATGTTCTTCTGACTGTACAGCCCCAGGGGACTTTGGGTATTTTTTCACTCTTGTCACTTGGATTGCCTGCCTTTATTTTTCTGATTCTAATCCAAGGTGCTGGTTATAAAACTTCATATGGTCAGAACCACAATACGGGTGGCTGCCTCTCCTAGTATGAGCCTCACGCATCTTCTGCAATCATCGAGAGCGGCTAATGCAAATGAGGTTCAAAGGGAAACACCAACAGAGGGGGCCTCTTGGTTGTGGCCCCATCTGCAAATTGCTCACTTTAGCGGGAGCCACCTGTGATCAACAGTACCCACTTTTCGGTGCCAGGTATTCCCCTCAATATGGATGGGTTATGACTGTTCAATGTGACAGTCGAAGTGTTTCTGTTTGTTATTGATGCCTGAGCTGTTGTATGTTTTGTAGCTAATTGTTTTTGCTGTTTTAAGGTTTGTGTGTTTCCATTTTCTTGTAAGGAGCTGTGAGTCTTTTTCTGGTTTTGGTTCTGAGAAAGACATCCAGGAAATATAAGCAAGAAACAAAATATTAATCATTAAAATGAGATGAAAAAAGTGCTTTACTTTGGAGGGATCGTGGCCGCTGTATTTAAAGCCCACGCAGCTGAGGTACCACAGTGTTCACATTATGCAAAAAAGAAAAGAAACAAGAATGACAGTAATACTGTATTGTGAAGGCAAAATTGCAGCTCTTAGACAAATAAATGGTTGCAAATCCATTTTATACACACAGCTCTTTGCTTGCATTAGCTCCATTGTCTAGTGTCTGTGTCTAATCTGGAGTGGTGGGGGGTGTACACAAGGAACAGAAGAAGAAAATACAATTTAGGGAGTGGTATGATAAGATGTTTAATGTAGCAGAGATAAATTTAAGGCCAAGCAGATGTACAGTGGATTAAATAGGGGAGTTAATCTGAAATGCTCATTTTTTCTCTCTCCTCAAAATGGAAGCTTATGTTACACATTTCCAGGCTATTAAGTGCATATTATGCAGATGGAGAGCCTTTAAATAAAGCTTTGAGTCCCTATGTGCTTGCAAGTTGGACACCTAATTTCCCCCAACAAAAAGGATGCTCAAGAGTCTGGAAGAAACACTCCTGCAAGGAAGGGGGTGTGATTTAGAAATAAAGGTAAGTGAGGGGAGATATGACAGAGGTGTGCAAGATTATTCAAGGTGCAGAGAATGTGAAGAGAGAGAGGTTTCTCTCCCTCTTTCATAACACTAGAACCCAGTGCAGTCATTCCATGAAGCTGATGACTGCAAGATTCAGGATGGATAAAAGAATGGACGGTCCAACTGTGGAATTCATTTCCATAAGATGAAGGGA